GTGATAGTCTTGCTGTTATATCAGATGAAAGGTTGAAATGGATCACTAAACTTATAGAAAGTAACCAAATTACCCTTTTGCATAGTCCTCCATCATCAGGAAAGAGTACCCTTGGACAACTTCTTCAAGACTTTTTTGAAAATTGTGGTAATGATAGCATATACATTACTCTTGCTGGTATATCTGGTAAAGCAGAAATACATGATGAAAACCTATTTGACAAATTTTGGAAAAATGAAGTTCATTATACTTGGACAGAAATCAGTAAATGGGAAAAGACTATTTATGTGTTCATTGATGAGATACAGATTATATATAATGATGGTACACCATTCTTTTGGGGTACTCTGAAGGCACTTTTATCAAGACATCAAAATATTCATATAATTTTGCTTGGAACATACCAACCAAGTCATTATCATCTAGCAACACCTATTCAAATTAGCAATACACTTGGTCTGAATGCTCTACTTCTAACATGGGATGAAACCAAACGGCTTATAATGAACTATATTCAGAGACATGCTATTTTAGGTAGCCCAAGTTTCAATATTCCTGAACAAGTTCAGGAGGCAATCTTTAGTCTCACTGGTGGACATCCTGGTTTGTGTCGATTCATTTTATCCATATTACGCACACAATTTCGTGAAAATGGAAAAACAGTGGAAATGCTACAATATCTTGCTTCAACATGTTTACGAGATAGTGTAATAACAACTGCACGTGCTTTTTACTGGCTTCGTGATTGGAAACTAACTGAGGAAGAATCTAAATTTATTCGTGGAAAGCTACTTAATCAACCTAATGTTCCCTTTTCTGCTGACTATGCTTCAAATCCTATTGTTGAGAAATTTGTTAAGATAGGCCTTTTCTCTGTGACTGACTCTAATCAATTACAATTTTCTGCACCCATAATGCAAGTTATTCTGTGTCATTACCTATTCACTGCCCCTTTAAATGTTGAATCATCACCTACAAAAACCTTTGAAGAGTTTTTGATGCGAAGCATTGAACGTATGAGTCCATCTAATTTTCAGAATTCATTTGGAAGGGGATATGGTGATAATTCATATTTATATGAGAGAAGTTGGCAAATGGAATGGTACCATTCTGCTATAACTGTAATTCCAATGAACACATCAATAAGTGCTGATGTTGGTGCAGTGTTTGGCTCTGCAGGATTTTTGGATTTCTATGTTGATGGAGAACTTTGCTGGGGAATTGAGCTGACTCGTGAGGGCACTTGTTTAAAGGAACATGCAAAACGATTTGAAGAAGGTGGCAAGTATGCTGATATCCCATTAAAACAATGGGCTGTTCTTGATTTTCGACATTATTCAAAAAAAGTAAAAAAACTTGTCCCAAATTTCTGGTATGTGTTCTACTCAGATGATTATAAAAGTGTTACTATAAAGCGTGACAAGTTGGATGATATAACACTTTATTTGCAAGGTGATAATGTTAACAAGTACTGATAGATACAAGAAGAAATTGTATGTTAACAGAATTATATA